TCATGAAATGCCTCTCCATTTATTTACTTCTTCTTTGATTTCATTCATTAGAATTTTGTAATTTTCCTCATATAGATCTTGTGTATATTTTGTTAGGTTTATACTTAAGTATTTCATTTTTTGGGGTGCTAATGTCAATAGTATTGTGTTTTTAATTTCAAATTCCACTTGTTCATTGTTGATGTAGAGGAAAGCAATTGACTTTTGTATATTAACTTTGTATCCTGCAACCCTGCTAAAATCATTTCTTACTTCCAGATTTTTCTTTTTTTGTCAAGTCTTTTCAGATTTTCTACATGGACAATCATGTCATCTGCAAACAAAGACAGTTTTATGTCATCCTCCCCAATCTGTAGACCTTTTATATCCTTTTCTTCTTTTATTGCATTATCAAGGACTTCTAGTACAATGCTGAAAAAGAGCGGTGAGAGGGTTCTTCCTTGCCTTGTACCTGATTTTAGTGGGAAAGGTTTGAGTTTCTCTCTGTTAAGTATGATGTTAGCTGTAGATTTTTTGTTGATAGTCTTTATCAAGTTGAGAAAGTTCCACTCTATTCCTAGTTTACGAGAGGTTTTTTTTTGTTTTTTTTTTTGGTCATGAATGGGTGTTGGATTTGGTCAAATGCTTTTTCTGCATCCATTGGTATGATCATGTGATTTTTCTTTTTTAGCCTGTTGATGTGATGGATTATATTAATTGATTTTCAAAAGTTGAGCCAGCCTTGCATACCTTGAATACCTTCCACTTGTTCATGGTGTGTAATTTTTTAATACATTGTTGGATTTAATTTGCTAATATTTTGTTGAGGATATTTACATCTCTGTTCATGAGAGATATAGGTCTGTAGTTTTCTTTTTTTTTTTTCTTGTAATGTTTTTGTCTGGTTTTAATATTAAGGTAATGCTGGCTTTATAGAATGAGTTCAGAAGTATTCTCTCTGCTTCTATCCTCTGAAAGAGATTGTAGAGAAAGGGTATAATTTCTTCCTTAAATGTTTGATAGAATTCACCAGTGAATCTATCTAGGCTTGGTGTTTTCTGGTTTGAAAGGTTATTAATTATTGATTCAATTTCTTTCTTTCTTTTTTTTTTTTTTTTGTGAGGAAGATCAGCCCTGAGCTAATATCCATGCTAATCCTCCTCTTTTTGCTGAGGAAGACTGGCCCTGCGCTAACATCTGTGCCCATCTTCCTCCACTTTATATGGGACAGTGCCACAGCATGGCTTGACAAGCAGTGCGTCTGTGCGTGCCCGGGATCCGAACCTGCGAACCCCGGGCCACTGCAGCAGAGCACGCGCACTTAACTGCTATGCTACCTGGCCAGCCCCATGATATTAGTAATTTGTATCTTTTCTCTTTTTTTCTTAGTTGGCCTGGCTAGATGCTTGTCAATTTTATTGATGTTCTCTAAGAACTAGCTTTTGGTTTTGTTGATTTTCTCTATTGATTTCCTGTTTTCAGGTTCATTGGTTTCTGCTCTAATTCTTATTATTTCTTTTCTTCTGTTTGCTTTGAATTTAGTTTGCTCTTCTTTTTTTAGTTTCCTAATATTGAAACTTAGATTATTGATTTTATATCTTTCTTCTTTTCTAATAAATGCATTCAATGCTATAAATTTCCCTCTAAGCACTGCTTCTGCTGCATCCCACAAATTTTGATAAGTTGTGTTTTCATTTTCATTTAGTTCAGAATATTTTTCAATTTCTCTTGAGATTTCTTTTTTGGCCTATGTGTCACTTAGAAGTATGTTGTTTAATCACCATATGTTTTGGGATTTTCCAGTTATCTTTCTATTACTGACTTCTAGTTTAATTCCATTGTGGTCTGAGAGTGGATATTGTATGATATCTATTCTTTTAAATTTGTTTAGGTGTGTTTTGTGGCCCATAATGTAGTGAATCTTCCATGTGAGCTTAAGAAAAATGTGTATTCTACAGTTGTTGGATGATATAGTCTATAGATGTCTGTTATATCCAGTTGATTGATGATGTTGTTGAGATCAACCGTATTATTACTGATTTTCTGCCTGCTGGATCTGCCTATTTCTGAGAGAAGGGTGTTGACGTCTCCAACTATAATAGTGGTTTCAACTATTTCTCCTGGCAGTTCTGTCAGTTTTTGCCTCGTTTAGTTGGACGACCTGCTGTTTGGTGCATAGACATTCAGGACTGTTACGTCTTCTTGGAGAACTGACCCCTTTGTCCTTATGTAATGTCCATCTTTATCTCTGATAACTTTCCGTACTTTGAAGTCTTCTTTGTCTGAAATTAATACAGCAACTCCTGCTTTCTTTTGATTAGTGTTAGTATGGTATATTTTTCTCCATCCATTTACTTTTAATCTATACGTGTCTTTATATTTAAAGTGGGATTCTTGTAGACAAATGTAGTTGGGATATGTTTTTTGACCCACTCTGAAATCTCTGTCTTTTAATTGGTGCACTTAGACTGTTAACATTCAAAGTGATTGTTGATATAGTTGGATTAATATCTACAATATTCATTACTATTTCCTATTTGTTGCCCTTGTTCTTTTTTCTTATTTTTGTCTTCTACTCTTTTTCTGCCTTTTTTGGTTTTAATTGAGGATTTTATATAAATGGAGTACATACTACAGAAACATAATGGTTATTGATTTGATTTGATCCAGGGACAGCGGAATGTTAAGGAGGCAGGAACTAACATTTATTAAGTGTTGCCGTGGGCTGGTAAATAAATACTTCCATGCTTGTTCCCTTTGATTCTTTCCATATCTCTGCAACTGGATATTTGCCATTTTAAAGCTAAGAGACCAAGGCTCAAAGGGTTTAAAATTTGCTTAAGATCAATGTCTAGCATATGGCTGATCCGTGGCTTAAATCTAGATCTTTCTGACTCCAAAGCCCATATTCTTTCTATTGAGACAGGTCATCTTTTCCAGAGATTTTTTGGAAATAGAAATTTAGGAGTTTGCTTTGTAAAAGGTAAGAACAGATGACCTAATAGGGATCCCAGTTTTATCACTTTTTCATTTAGACCCTAATAAAAAATTTAAAACTCCCCAAAGCAAGGCCCCCATAACCAGCTTGTCTGAGGAAAAAGAAGCTAGAATGGTGCCAAAGGGCCGGACCCCACCAGCTCATCACGGAGCCTGTCCCACGGTGGGGAAAGAAGGGCCTGGACCCCAGGAACCACCGCCTCAAGTTTCCCCCCTGACGATGAAGAGGCTGGAAGTTTCCCCCCTGACGATGAAGCCTTCAGTGACCTAGACCTGGACCAACTCATGGAAGATGTTGGAAAAGAGCTGGAGCAGAGGGAGGAGCCGCAGCAGAGAGAGGACGCAGAGGAGTTCCCCATGGCCTTCTTTGAGGAATAGTTGTGTGTTAACGTCTCCTTCCTGCTGTCTCACCCTCCTTCCTTGGAGCAAGAGGGGCAGCCTCTCAGAGGGTCCCTGAGAAGCTGATAAGTGTTGGGGTTGTTCATTGGCCACAAGGTTAACTGGCTAAAGTCAGAGTGGTACAGTTTATGTGTTAATAAAACAGGTTATGATTTAATCGGTTTCAGTCATCTCTAACCAGATGCTTCCTTTTGGCTTCTCTCCCTCCTCCTCCATGTCACTGTGTCACATCATTGTTCCTGGGGAGAGGCGTGCACAGTGTAGGGATCTGGGAAGGCAGTGACACCTGAGTCCTGGGAAGGACATGGAGAAGGGCAGGTCTGGGTTCAACTCCTGGCTCAGCCACATACTAGCTATGTGGCCTTGGGAAAAGCACTGTAACATTCTGGTTCTTGTTTTCATGCCTCTAGTGAGCATAGCCAATACCAGGTTGTTGATGATGTTGAAATGAGGTGATGCATGTGAAGCGCTTAACACGACGCCTGCTACTTATTATCGTAAGGGAAGGAGAGTGGTTAGATTGGGGGTGGCCCTTGGGTTCTGGGCTGTCTACCAGTGTTGGGGATTATTGGTCCCTGGCCTGAGGCAGTCGCTGAACAGAAGTACTGGAGGAAGGATCTTGGTGTGAGCTCTCTAGAGTTCATTTTTGGCGAGAGGGCCGGGGTTGAAGGTGACATCAGTTTTCTCCTTAGATGCATCCAGGCAAATTCTATGGCTACTTTTATTTTTGTGGGCAAGGCTAGGAAGTCGAAGAGGGAGCGGGAGCAGATGGCTCTGTCTCTCAGGTCCTTCTACCCCTGCTGGCTTCTGAGTCGTGTATCTGGCCGGGGTTATTATTGGAAGCTGAGACCCTCTGCACAGCTCACTCTAAGGAGGTCATCATTCAGTCCACTCCTTAGGCCTTTAAGTTAGAGTACAGAGTCTCTTCCTGGGGGCTCCCACTGAGAGGGGAGGTGCTGCTGGTGAGGTGGAGCTGGAGAGGGCAAGGGAGGTGTAGAAGATGCCATCATCCTGGGCAGCAAAAGAGAAGTGGGTTAGCCAGTGGAGGGGGGGCTGTCCCCATCTTAGAGCGGCGATCCCACACCTGAGTGCCCACGGATACCAGAGTCCCTCTAGTCCTTCCATCCCACCTTCTCCAGCTTCTCCTTAATTCTTTCAGGCCCTAGTCTGAGCTGCTTATCTTATGATCCAGCTTAGGGTCTGTATATTGTCCTAGAAAAAATCAAGATGTGCTGGGGTCAGGTGGCATGGCAGCCAGGGTAGGGAAATGGGCAGGGGACTCCAGTAGTGAGGTTATCTGCTAGGTCAGGACCAGGGTCATGTGGGAGGGTGGGTGAGGAAAGAGGAAAATACTGGGGGCACCTGTGTGGGTAGGGAGTGTGTGGGGGAGAAGGAAGGGCCACAGTGGAGAGTAGGGAGTGATGGCGGTAGGACTTACCTTTATTCCCAATATTCTCGTACTTCTTAGTGTTCTGGAAGGATCCCCTGCATGGGAACAGGAGGGCGGGAAAAGTTTTAGAGGCTGGGCAGGAAAGAGTTAAAACCCGTGTGGGGTGGTTCTCTTTGTGGGAGGCTCTGGGACCTGCCTGGACAGGCTCAGAAGGTGAATGCAGTGGTTTAGGCTCTCAGGAGGCTGCCTCGAAGAGGACTGAGAAGCAATTTGCAGTGTAGCCCAGGAGAGGTCGCTGAGTGCCTACTGAAAGTGGATTGTTCTAGAGAAGTGGCTTTTATTGAAGGGGGCAGAGAGGAGAAATTGGCAGGGTGAGCTCCTGTCCTCTCTGCTGGCACTGTCTCCCTAAAATCTGGAGAATGAAAACCAGCGAAGCTAATCTCAGGTCCTCTGGGCGGGTGCTCAGGCCTTGGTCCTGGGAGGAGAC